TGAAGGAAATGCCTATGGCCTCCCTCTTCCTGCCTTCTTAGGCTACACAGTATCCACAAAGAAGAGAATAATGGATCTGTGAAGGCCTCTTGTAAAATGTGAAATGCCCAGTGTTCCTGTTTTTCAGATCAGAAACCTGAGGCGCAGGATCATGTGACTGGTACAGACGGAGGTCCTAGTCTGGATTCCAGAGCACCCAAATCCTCATTTTGGCCTTTGCATTTCCTGCTGGGATGGGAAGGGGCAGTGAGGAAAACGCTGAGCTGACTATAGGTGCAGTGTGAAGAATCAGAATCCTCATCCAGTTGTCTCTCCCTTTTGACATCACTCAGCTTCCTTGGTCAGGTCCAATTGCCGGGTCTTGCATCCCGGGTCATCCCGGGGTCATCCCACCATCCCTCATCTGTGTCTCCACTGTCACCTCATCCTAATGGGAGCTGCAGGTAACCTTGGGACTCACCTTCCTCCCTTGGGTCTTGCTGGCCTTTCTGACCCCCTTCTCTGTGCAGGGCGGAGAGGGGGTGCTGGTGCCCAGGGGAAAAGGCTCAGTTGCAGGCTGGCAACCAATGTCTGGCCCCAGACGTGTTTTCCTTTAAGCCATGGCCCCTGTTCCCAGAGAAGTGGAAATGAAGAGCGAGAACTGGTGCTCTAAGGAGAAGGGAAGGCACCCCAACACCTTTGGGGCTGTGGGGCCACAGGAGGGGACTCGGCAGCTTGAGTACATCCTCCAGGGTGCTGGGCACTGTGGTGAATTTGCTGTATCCATATGCTTCTGGCCGGCCAGGGTTGGGGGCCAGACAGGCACCATGTCCATTCTCAGGCGTGGCTTTGAAAATGCTTTGCTTACTTTGTGTGTGAGCCGAGCCCAGAGGACAGCTTGCGGGTGTGTGTGTGTGTGTGTGTGTGTGTGTGTGCCGTGGGTTCTTCCACTAAACATGTCACCAAACGCTTGCGCTCGCCAGGGCGTTTTCTCTGTCCTTGGCAGTACTTGGGGACAAAAGGGTGTGTGTAGGGGGTGCTCCTGGAAAGTGTCGTCGTTAAGACTGGGCCACCCGTTCCATGGCACCTCCATCTGCATGTCAGACATGCAGCTTTTTCCACCCCGCGCCCCTGCCAAGCTTGTGATAAGTCTGGCTGGTGCGCACACGCACGCTTTCCCCCTGCCCTGGAAACACTCAGATATTCCGGATTTGTCAGCGGCCTTCATCCCTCAGCCAAGAGGGAGGCCGCAAGCCACAAGCAGGCTTAGATTCCAGGCTTGGGCCAGCTCTTGGGCCTGGCACGGTGGCAGCGAGCCTCAGCCTGGGGTTAGGACAGTTAACAAGCACAGAGGGACGGGGATGACATCACGGGCTGTCCCTATCCCACCCAGCCCCGCTCCACCCCCGCTGTCTCCTTCTGTCTCTGTTTCTGCTCCCTGGGTGTTTCTCCCCTTCTCTCTCCTGCCCTGCCGTTCCCCGGCCTCTCATCTCTCCCCCTGCCTTTTCCCTCTTCTTTCCTCCCCCTCACTCCCATCTCTTCGGCCCCCTCCCTCCCTCCCTCTGGTGAGGGAGGTATGGAAAACCAAGGCTTTAAGTGGCAGTTATGCTGAGTGGTCAGCCTAGGAACACAAAGTGCCTGTGGGTCCCCGGGGCCCAGATCATAACCTCTCCCACTAGGGTTGCTCACCCTGGTAGTTTGAGTGAGATTAGCCCCCATAGGCTCCCGTGTTTACTGTGAAGGATTGGGAGGTGTGGCCTAGTTAGAGGAGGCGTGGCCTAGTTAGAGGAGGCGTGGCCTAGTTAGAGGAGGCGTGGCCTAGTTAGAGGAGGTGTGGCCTAGTTAGAGGAGGTGTGGCCTAGTTAGAGGAGGCGTGGCCTAGTTAGAGGAGGCGTGGCCTAGTTAGAGGAGGCGTGGCCTAGTTAGAGGAGGTGTGGCCTTGTTGGAGGAGGCGTGGCCTAGTTAGAGGAGGCGTGGCCTAGTTAGAGGAGGTGTGGCCTTGTTAGAGGAGGTGTGGCCTTGTTAGAGGAGGTGTGGCCTTGTTAGAGGAGGTGTGGCCTTGTTAGAGGAAGTGTGGCCTTGTTAGAAGAAGTGTGTCACTGGGGGTGGGCTGGGAGGTCTCAACAGCCCACGCCAGCCTCAGCCCCCATCCCACCTGTGGATCAGGATGTAAAGCTCTCACGACTGCTCCAGGCCTAAGCTAGCCGCCATGCTCCCCGCCATGATGACAATGGACTAAATCTCTGAAACTGGAAGCCAGCCCCCAAATTAAATGCTTTCCTTTAAGAGTTGCAGTGGTCAGGGTGTCTCTTCACAGCCTGTTGACATAGTTTCAGTCTGAGCTAAGGCTGTACAGACTCCATCTCCAGACAAACAACAAAATGCTGAACTTGAAAACAGGAAGGAAATTGTTGAAGTATTTCAGAATGGCTTTCCAAGCCGCTAAGTGCGGCATCCATTCAGCATCAGTGCTGAAGAGAGGAGCCGTGAGAAAGCAAAAGGCAGACGCTGAAGGAGGGCGGCCAGGCCATTGAGGAGGTCCATCCTGCCTTAGACTGGCTCTCCTAGATTCAGCTGCCCTGGAGGAGCAGGGTGAGGTGTCCAGTCCAGGAGCCATTCCCAGGTCATCATAAACTCTGCCTCACCAAGGAAGCACACCAGCAACGCAGATTCCTGGGCCACACCCCTCCCCACTACCATTTGGATCCAGATGCTGGGTGGGGCCCAGATACCAGTCTCGAAGAGCAAACTGTGGATTCTAAAGACCTGCTACACAGCACCAAGGCATAAAGAAGCTCTAGACACAAATCCCTCCCACCCCCAGCTGCCTGAACTCTGACCTGAAGAACTGGGACTGCCCTGCACTCTCCCAATTAGAACCACAACTTGAGCAAGTCCATTCTCAGAGGATGCCCAGATACATCTAAATGGCATAGGGCCTCTTTCCAGATGTCTGCAAGGATCGGGGCCCCTCACTCAACCTGAGACCTGTGACTGCTGCACCTCTGCTTCCTGCCACAGGGACCTCAGAGCCACTGAGGTAGGACTTGAGGGAGAACAGAGAACATTGTGCTCTTTTGAAGTCTTTAGTCTATTTCTGCTCATGTGCGGTCGTGTAGCTGGGGGAGTGGCCAGGAATTCTATCAGTTTCTACCGTGACTTTTCACCCTCCACACTGGCACTGAAGAATGGTATCTTTTAATACCAGTTGGACTTGACTTAAAACCTGTCTGGTTCCTTAAAACAAAGCCCATGTCCCAGTCCTGACCTTTGGGGCTGGCTCCTCCTCCTCCTAACTTCCTACTTCAGCCGACTGCTTAGGAATGCAGAAATACACAGCTGTGCTTCTGCTGGGCACATTCCAAGCCTCTCACCTGCTCACTAAGATTCTACTTTGGGGTTCCCCTGCTCCCAAGTGACACACTCCCAGCCTGCCCTAGCTACCCTGCCCTTCGAGGAGGGTAACTCCTGCTACCCCCGAGCTGTGCATTCCAATCACACTGAGGGACAATGGAATTCCGTCATATGCCTGCCCTCCTCCAGAGCCTAGCTCTTCACTGCGGGTAAGAGCATCCTCGCCACTCTGGTAGCTCCAGCACCTGATGAACTGAAGGGATTCTTTTCATTTTAAGGAATTGATGTAGGGAACAGAGGGAGGGGGGACGTTCGGGGGTCTTCAGACACCTGAAGCTCTTACAGGTACCTCTGGTTATGGGTTGTGGCCACTTACACTCTTCTGAAATAGAACTAGAAACCACATATCAGCCGCCTGGCCATCGTGGTCAACTGAAACCTTTTGAGGATGTTTCTCAGCTTGCGGGCATGCTCAGATCAGACTCTGGGTTGGTCCTTCCCAAACATCTGCATTTGGCCCTGAGGGACTCCCTGGCTCTGTCACTGCGCTCCACCAAACACGTGGGTTCTGAGCTTCTGGGGGTTTGATGGGGGGTGGGGAACCCACTGTGGGACTTCCCTGTTGGGACACTGGTGAGCAGAAGCTGGCTTGAATTCACCCCGGAGAGCATGCCAGAAGTGGCTTGCTGCTGGGCCCATCAGGGCAGGGTCTACCCCTCGAAGCCACAGAACTTGAGTCCACAGGCTTAAGACTCAGAGAGCATCCACGAAGAACAGTACTGATCTAAGCAGTTAGGCTCTTCCTATAGACATCACGTCTAGGACTCTGCCTCCCCCACCTCTGGCCCTGCTGGGTCATTAGGGACAGCACCCTCCACAACTGGGGAATCTCTCATGAAGACAGGATCATCCGGGGCTGATCACTGTGCTGTCTTCGTGCTTCCAAGCACACAGTGGGGCTTCCTATGCACCTGCCTCTCCTTACCCTGCTCACTGAGGGGAAGCGGGAGTAGGGAGACTACATTTGCCAGCAGTTTGCACACACTGCAGTGTTTTACCCAGGTGCCCCTCTAGCTTCTAGGCTAAGGAAAGGAAAGCCCTACAGTGGTCCTCAGACATTTTAGACACAGCGTAGATTGTGAACCGTGATAAGGACTGGGAAAATAGCAGGTGCTTAGATGGTAGACACCCGAGATAGGAGTTAAAAAAAAAAAAAAAAAGCCAAACTTTCTCCCCCTAAATGACAGGGCAGGAAATGGAGATCTCTTAGGGAGAGGCCATCTTCCCTGAGTTCGTCCCTAAAGTCAGAACCCACTGGAGGAAAGGCAGGGACCGGGAAATGAGCGTTCTGTTCCATTTCCCACTGTTGCTCCTGAGAGGTCCCCACCCAGACCTCAGGGCTTTCCCACCCCGTCTGGTGCTGATACGATAGCTTTGGGGTGGAGGGGGGGACCAGAAGAGGTGGTGCATTTATTCCATTTCCGCAGGTGTGGGCCTGCTGTCTCCTTAGGACCCGGGGTTCCCACATCTGTCCAGGTGGCATGATACTGCCCAGCTGTTTCTCGGAACCAAGGGGTGCCTCAGGGAGGGAAGGCAAAAAGAAGGTCCCTCAAAGCATGAGCAGTTGGCCTCCGCCACCCACCTTCTCAAACACAGGTCCATCCGGACACAGCACAAAGGGGCTGTTTATTGGGTGCCTGTGGCCAGGGATGGGGTCACTCAGGAAATAGCAGGCTGTGTTCAAAGGGAAGCCTTGCCGAGTAAGTCCTCTGCTCCAGCACCCTGGAGAAGCCCCAGAAGAGCCTGTTGGTCCCTGGAAGTGCAGAGTGGTGGGATGGCTCAGCTCTTCTTCCCAAGGCCTCCTGAGTTCAGACCTCGAGGCCTGGGTGAGGAGGAACAGTCTTGGTGTCTGCATGAGGCAGTGGTAGCTGCAGGCTCTCCTGTGGGTGCTGTCTGGGATGGCTAGGAGTCCCTGTCCCAGCTGCTTCCCAAGAGGACAGGCGGCCAAAATGCTAGTTTGCTGGCCAGTGGCCAAAGAAGGAGGTAGGCTGGTGAGATGGGCCCAGAGCTGGCCCGGAATTTGGTCTCACGGTGCAGGGGTGCAGTATGAGTGATTCTAATGCTTCCGAGTGCCTTGTGCACCCCATGGAGCTCAGACCTCTGGTGCTGGCGGAACTCTATGCAGCCTGTAAGAAAAAGCACAGGTCAGCTCGGCCCACCTGTTGAAGAAGCCTGCAGATGGTACCCGAGGGCCGTCAATGCTCAGGAGCACTCAGCCATCAGGTCCTCGGCTCTGCCCTTGTAGTGTCCTTGTCCCCAGAGACTACCTTCTGGCTTTCATCTATGCAGGTTGGAATCACCTGGAAAGCTTAAAAGGGCCCTGGCCCAGGCCTCACTCAGGGTCTCTGGAGCGATCCCAGGCCCCTGCACTTTTAAAAGCACCATTGTTTTGGTGTGAAGACACTCTTGGAGGCCGGAAAGGGGGTTCCGATTGGTTCACTGGGCTCTTTGGCTGCAGTTCTGAACAAGGAAGGGCAAATTCACTGAAACACAGTTCTGAAATATTTGTAAACAGACCATGAATCACCTCAAGAAAGATTTATGTCGGCACTAAAGATTAGAACTTCCTGCTCAAGAGGATGGAAAGTGTGGAGGGGTAGAGTCTCCTCCAGCTGGAACAGAACTGGGAGCGGATGCCTCCCCCATTCCGGAACCCTCCAAAACTCTGAGGACAAACCACAGGCTCTGCTCCCAGTTGCCCTACCCCTGACCCCAATTCTGGTGTCTCACGGTAGCACGATGTGGAGGTCTGAATGAGAACGGCTCCCAGAAGCTCCTACGTTCGAATGCTTGGTCCCTAGTGGGTGGGACTATTTGAGGATTAGGAGGTGTGGCTTTGTTGGGGGAGGTGTGTCACTGGGGGTGGGCTTTGAGGTGTCAAAGGCCCACACCAGGCCGGGTGTTAGTGGCGCATGTCTTTAATCCCAGCACTCGGGAGGCAGAGGCAGGCAGATCTCTGAGTTTGAGGCCAGCCTGGTCTACAGAGCAAGTTCTGGGACAGCCAGGACTACACAGAGAAACCCTGTCACAAACAAACAAACAAACAACATGCTTTATAAAGCCAGACTGCTGCACAGCAGCAGGTCTGCTCTGTAAATGTGCTCCTGAGTTATCTGAGCAGGTGACAGTCCTGGTGTGTATGTCCACACCTACACTTGCTTTTGTGACTTTTCCTGGTACATGGAATCAATCCCAGAGCCCTGAGCAGCGCTGCTGGTCCCCACCCATCCAGGAGGGGGTGCTATCTAGAGATGTGCCAGTGTCTGAAGGCAGCCTGGGCACTTGTGAGAGCAGGTGGGAAGGATGGAGCCCTTGGGGCAGGAGACAGAGGCTTTGGGCAAAAATGTCAGACTGTCTGTGCTGTGGTTTCAGAGTGAGGCACATAGTGGCGTCCACTCCAAGGACACCTGGAAGGCTCCTTAGGCACGTAAGGAAGCCTTAGGTATATTGCTCACATCCAGTGCAGAGCCTGACCCAGACACTAGCCTGCTTGCTTCCAAGCTCCACTCTGATGTACTGAGGCTAGTACAAAGCCTATAAGCAAAACCTATGTCTCCTCAAGATGACACCCTACTTGTGCATGAGGCCTTACACTCCAGTGTGGTTGTTCAGAGAATTAACAAGTACCTTGGATTCTGCATGGGGGACACGGGGACTCTGCCCCCTCCCCGGCCCCCACCTTGACAACAGGGAGGACAGAGCCTTCCCCAGACATGGGAGATGCTCACCGTTCGATGAGACGGTTGTTGTCCTGGAGATCAAAGGCCAACAGTTTCATATCATTACAAAGCTCCTGCATGCTGTCCCGGGGAGGAGAAAGGGGTGGCTGAGGCCCAGGTCACTTGGCCCAGAGCCCACTTGCAGAGGCCATGGAGCAGCCCCTTGGCCTGGCCTGGCATGAGGATGAGGCACCCTCCTTCCCCCAACTCTCCAGCACTTACTGGAAGACCAGGTCCTTGGGATCAGGGCTGGGATGAGGAGCCATGGGGTGTGGTGAGATCTGAGCCCCCGGTGCTCTGTCCAGAAGGAGCTGATCAAGGATCTGAAGGGAAGCCGTGCATTAGTCAGGAAGGACCTATCAGCTCACGGATGGCTGGGTAGGGGGTGTGCTGAGGAAGGGTAACACATCTGCCCTCACACTGTCTCCCTAGAGCCCCGGGAACTATCCGGTCTTTTCAACATGCCGTTCCTTCCCATCCTGGGGCTGTGTCTCTGGTGTCGCTGCTTCCCCTCATCTGTCCTGAACTAAATGATTCAGTCTGCCCAGTTCCCCTCTGGCTCTAACCTAAACCTCTCATGACACAGTCTGAGCCACAATTTGGGAGAGAGGCCATTCCTAGCCACTCTCTGTGGTTGCCTGCATTGCATGCTGGGAGCCACGTGTGGCTGTCTCCTAGAAGGGCCTACTTTGTACTCTTTGTGGCCAGCTAGATAAATGCTTGGACAGAGTGACTCAGAAGACCAAGGAGAGTTCACATAACCTCTCAGGAGCAGCCTTGGGACCTCCACGCCGCACAAACCCGGAGTAAGATGTCCTAGGAGTCGGAGCCCTTTCTTACAGGGCTTTTCAGTCTGAAATCTCTAGGAATGTTCCTATCTCAGGGCACATTTGTAGGTCAGAGACCTCCAACCTTCATGAGCATCCCTGAGTTCGTCAAGGCTGCTCTGTCCCCTGGCAGGAAGTGATCCAAATGCCCCTTCCCCTCAGCAGCCCCCTGGGGCCCCCAAAGCGCCCACACCTTGCTCAGGCTCTCTTGCGTTTCCTGGGCTTCTGCGTTACAGGCAGCCACAGAGCGGCCAATGAGGTGCAGGTGGTTCTGGGCCTTCTGCACCTGCCTTGGGAGAAACAGAGGAGATCAGAGCAGGCCATGGCTCGCCACGGCTGGGATGCTCCAGCTGGTGCCAGCTCACGGGGGGTCCTGAGCACTGAGCTTCCTCTATGACTCTGTCCTTCGGGGTGTCACTCATCTCCTGGGAACTGAGAGAATAATCCCAAGAGAACCAGGGCAGGGACCAGTAACAACACCCATGTGGGTGAGGCTGGGTCACTCAAGCGATCAGGGCCAGCATAGGGGCAGGTAAGGCAAGAGAGACAGATAGCCCAGGCTAGCACACGTATGTGAGGAATGACAGCCCACACTAGATGACAGCCCACACTAGAGCGTTTGTGTGAGGAATGTCCACCCTTCCGTCTCCATAACAAAGTAAGGGCCAGACTTGGGAACTCTAATCTCTAATCGGAGGTCACGCAGGGACATTTCCCCATGGCGCAGAGGAAATCAAGTCGCAGGTCTATTAAACCAAAAGTTGGTTCTCAGCTCTGGACACATGTTAGAGTCCTCAGGGAGAGCTTTGAAACTAGTATCTAAGACCTGCCTAGGCCCCTCCCATCAGTATGTTGGGGGGCGGGGTGCCAGGCATTGAATTCTAATGGGAGGGTGAGAGGAACCCAGCCACCCAGCACACAGAAAACTGTCCTCTCTTCTCAGGGCCGCAGCAAAGTGCAGCAGGAGACCACGGGGCCTTGAAAAAGGAGTCTCGAACTCCAGAACAGTGTGAAGGAGGGCATGTTTAGTAGGCAATGCCTGACCCTGCTTCCCTGCCCGTTTGAAGTCCTGTTTCTCCTCCTCCCTAGGGAGCTGGTGTTCTCCCTAGACGGAAGAGCCCCATCACACCAGACAGGGAGGGCAGGTAAAACCCAGATTTTAGGGGTACCTCTACCCATGTTCTAGTCCCCAGCCTGCTGTTTATTAGCTGTGTGACATTAGGAAGAGACCAGTTCTTGGAGCCTCGGTCCCGTCATCTAAAAGGAGGTGGTGGCATTTGCTGTGTAAACACCGGGGACCAGGTAAGCACAGTTGTAGCAATCACCCAGCAGACCACCTGGCCCACTCAGTTTTTTCCCTTCTCAGGAACTCCTTTCCTACTCAGGCCCCACAGAGCCCAGGGTCCTCTGAAGTCTGGAAGGGCCGGGCTAGCCCAGGCTCCATGAGCTGAGAGGAAGGGCCGGGCTGTTTACCTTATCCTCTTGCCATGTGTGACCAGCGACACCTGATACTTCTGCACACACTCCTCCTGGAACACCTGCAGCAGCCTCTTGGCCAAGTGGCTAAAATTCACCCTGGAAGGACAGAGAATCCACCATCTAGAACTGAGCCGCCCGTCCAACACTACCCGTCACACACGCCAGCCCCCTCAGCCCGCAACCGGGGCACCTCTCAGGAAGAGAGGACGGCCACACACTCAGATGGTGAAGCCCAGAGTCCAGCAAAGCCACATGTTCCAACCAGGAGGCAGGGGAGGCCCATATGGTGGTCTGTGAATGCATGCACTCTCAACTTGATCCCCGGGAGAAGGAAGGATGCACGACTATGGAAAGCTTGTGAGTGAGTGTGTGTGTGCGTGCGCGTGCGTGCGTGCAGGAGTTAGAGGTGGTATAGCTCTGGGGGAGAAAAAGAAAAATCCCCAAATAGCCATCAGAGCGGGGGAGGCCTGGCGCATGATGTGGGTGTCCAGGAAACGGTATCGACGAGAAGCCGGGCATGCCCAGGCCAAGCTCAAAAGCATCGAGTGGGAAGAAGGTGGCCAGTGAGAATAATTCAAGAGAAAATCCTACAGACAAACGTGTTTGTGACGGGAGGAAAGCCAGTTACATCACGGCTGTCTGTGAGAAGTCCCTGACCAGCCAGCTGTTCAGTGTCCCACCCCTGACCCTGTATAACCTACTCGGGTCGTTACCCCCCCTCCCCCACCACCGCCATGGCCAAGGGTCAAAGCACTTGAGTATTTCCCACCTGGAGTGAAGACTCACCCTACCCCAGTGACCTCCACCCTCCTGCCCACCTGCCAGCCAGGGAACAGGTCACTCACTTATCCAGCTTGTGGATCTGCTCCTCGTTGTAGCTGAGTCCTGAAGGAGACAGACGGGGATGATGTCACCACTCAACTAGTCAGCAAAGCAAGTTAAAAAGTTGGAGACAGCCCTGGGTGGGGCTGTTTCATGGGGTCTCGGGCCTAGGGGAGCCAGGAGGGGGATGAGGAAATGGGACATCAAGTAACTATGACAACGTTATTATAGTGACCGCGTGGCTGATTTAGGGACAAAGGAGCTGAGGAGAAATGCAATGTGTGGGGTTCCAGAGGGAGGCAAACCTGCTGCGTGCGTGCGTGCGTGCGTGCGTGCGTGCGTGCGTGCGTGCTGGATGAAATGGTCCTCATGGGATGCGGCCATGGCCCGTCAGCCACTACCCTCTCCAGCTGGCAGCTGGTTGGCTCCATGCCTGGAGCTACTCACAGATATGCCACCACCTTCTAACTCTCCCGCTCCGCCCAGCAACTCTTTTCAGAAGGAGCAGTTTTGGGTAGAAGTGTCCTTGCCTGGACCTAGGCTACCACCCCAAGATCGTAAAGCTCATGCACTGAGGCGACACTGCCCCCTGCTGGGCTTTGAGGGAATGGGTCTCCAGAGCAGTGGTAGCCCCCAAGATGCCGGTTTGCCCTTCCACTTTCCCATCCCATCACCCCAATAGGAGGATCCCCTTCCTGGGCCTGCCTTGTGAAGGCCAGGAGACCTGGACACATCCCAGCCCCCCCTCCTTCTAGCAGGCAGCTGTGTACAAGTGACTTGGCTCTGGAGGCTGGTTGTGCGCCCATCGTGTGCACACATGGATGACTATGCGGATCACGGGAGAGTGCCCTGACCTTCCAGAATGGCATCGTGCAACACTCCAGGTGCCGGGAGTTGTTCCTATTTTTAATAAAGTACTCTGAAAGAGCAGTCAATATGGAAACTCGCGAGGCTGTAAAAGGGGATGGTTAAAAGAAGCTGGACCAGCCTGGTCTACAAAGCGAGTTCCAGGAAAGGCGCAAAGCTACACAGAGAAACCCTGTCTCGAAAAACAAAACAAAACAAACAAAAAAATAAAAAGAAGCTGGACCAGCCGGGCGGTGGTGGCGCACGCCTTTAATCCCAGCACTCGGGAGGCAGAGCCAGGAGGATCTCTGTGAGTTTGAGGCCAGTCTGGTCTACAGAGCGAGATCCAGGACAGGCACTAAAACCACACAGAGAAACCCTGTCTCGAAAAACAAGCAAAAACAAACAAACAAAAAAGCTGGACCTAGAACAACTGAGCTAATTAGCCCTTCTTGGCCTCAGTTTCCCAAACTATAAAACAAGGAAAGTTGAGATGCATAGAGGATTGTTGTTGTTTGTTTGTTTTTGAGACAGGGTCTCTCTACATAGCCCTGGCTGGCCTCGAACTCACACCAGGTCTGGAACTCACAGATATCTACCTGTCTCAGCCTTTTGAGTGCTGGGGTCAAAGTCAGGTACCTCCACACTCGCCAGTGCATAGAACACTGAATAACTCAAAGACGATGGAGTCCTTAGGCTGGTGCCCACCGTCAAGGCAATGTTTAAAGCTTTGGTGGCAGGATTATGGAGTCCCAGACATGGAGGTAGACAACTTGTGACCCTCCTGAAACCACAGCAACGGCCGGCTGGGTACAGGACCCTGATTGAGTCTCAAGTCCCCCTGCTCCCATGGACGGGGGACTTGCCTTCCCCATGCTCTCTGAGGCCAGACTCCAGAGGAAAATGAAGGCCCCAAAGGAGAGAGGCCGTGTTCCCTAGATCCCCAAGTCCTCACTGATGACCACCAGACTCAGGTTGCTATGGAGCACCTGACATGTATCCATGGTGACCGAAGGCTTGGATTTTTAATTCAATGTACGCAACTAATGTAAAATTTAAAACTGAAGCAGGGTGAAATGTTTTTTTCCCACTAAGTCCAGCTCTATAATTTTGTTAAGATTTACCACATTTACTGAACACTTATCTTCTAGACAGAGATATAAAGTATAAAATACACATGGGATTTTGAAAATTTAGCATGAAAAGGAGCACAGAGTATCTTTTTAGTGGTTTTGTTTATATTGAGAATATGCTGAAATGACATTATGATACATTGAACAAAATGTATTAAATTAATCTCGGCTGTTTTTTTTTCTTTTTAATTTGACTGTGAGAAAGCTTAAATTACACATATAGCTGGATATTATGTTTCTCCTAACAGTGCTTTGTAGACTACCCCGGGACCGGAAGAGCACTAGGCAACGAGGCAGATATGGAAATGTTTGGAGCATAGCGTAGGGACGGAGAGTGAGCTTTGACATGTTAGCTCCCCAGCTAACTGGAGCGTTTATTCCCAGGCTCCCCCAACTCCATCCCATCCCTGCCCAGGTTCAAGCCTCACCCTGCTGCTCTACCCTCCTGCAACTCAGACAAGCAGGTTTCCATTCCTAAGCCTGTGAAGCATTGCCCCGGGCCAGAAGGACTTGGTGGGCATTTAAAGATAATGTAAGAAATCTCCTAGTCCAGGAACTCTAATGAGGATTTCTTCTGGTCCCCATTCTCAGACAATCTGGGTCTTTTGGTGGTCCAAAGACCCAGTGGAGGGGCTGGGGAGATGGTCTAGTGAGCAAAATGCTACTGTGCAGTGTAGAAACTAGAGTTCAGATCATCAGCACCCATGGAAATGCTGGGCAGGCATGGTGGCCACCTGTGACCCCAGTGCTAGGCAGGTGGAGACAGGCAACACCCAGAGCAAGCTGGTTAGCTACATTAGTCAAATTGGTGAGCTCTGGGTTCAAGTAAGAGACTCTGCCTCAAAATATAAAGTGCAGAGCAATTGAAGAAGAAGCCTAGCAACCATCTCTGGCCACCACAACAGGTAAACACACATACACTCGTGCATACACAAGACACATGCCTGCATGTGATGAGCTCTTGAGCGCGCGCGCGCCCCTCCCCCACACACACACCAAAACCAAACCAAATGAAAGACACAGTAGATAGGAAAACACTTCTGAGAGTACCCTGTCAAGGTAAAGGGTCCCCTTCCAGGCCCTTTCCCACATTATCCATGCTCCCGCTCACTCTGTCCTGCATCCATGACACCCAAGCTTCTCTCATGACAGTAGACATGGTTATAATGTCTCTCGGTAGCCTACAGGCAACATGCAGGCAGGGACTCTCCTGCCTGAGGCCAGCTGCACCCTAGCTCCAGGCAGTATACACTAGTGAGCCTCCGACCATGCTGGGTTGATAGAAAGGAGAAGGGAAGGAGGGTCCCTAGGGGTTGGCTCTCCGACGCTCACCTGGCCTCATCCTAGATTTCTTGAACTGCTTGTAGATGAAGTGCATCTTGTCCAAACAGCACTGAATCTTCTGGATACTGTGGGCAGAAAGCGGGGAGACTCAAAGGTCGCAGGGGCAGGAAGAGGAGGGAGCTGTCTCCCGGCCACAGAGCAGGGTGGGATGAGATCCGGGGGTGGGGGAACCCGGCCTGTCTCTAAGCTTATTTAGATAATTTAGATCAAGCTCTCCTTCTCTATTCTAGATATCTCTCTCTCTCTCTCTCTCTCTCTCTCTCTCTCTCTCTCTCTCTCTCTCTCTCTCTCTGCCTCCCCCCAAGCAGGTGAAACAGAGAGTCGGGACTGGGTAAAAGGGTCTATGTTCTTACATAGCTGCCCCATAGAAGGAACTTAATGGGTCAACAGCTCTACCTAAGCACTAATGAACCCATGGTCCCCCTGGAGCCAGGGGGTGGGGTGGGAGGCGGCCTCTCAAGGGCCTGTCAGCCTGGGGTTTAAAGTCAATCACTGCTTCTTCCCCTTGCCTTTCACACTGGATACAGCAGCTTCCTTTAGGGGACTGGGGCGTCCTCCCTCACCCTCAGGCCTGTTTGGCTCCACTTCCTCCCCAGAGGTTTCCTGGGATACCACCCCAGGCACTTCCGGATTGGGTAAGGTGCAAGCGTATTGCCAGGGCTCAGGTAGCCTGAGAGGATGAGATTGGCCGAGATGTGTCCAGAACCATTGTTTCACATTTGTGAGCCCGGGGTTGCCTTGTGATTCCAGCGAGGCGCTCTGGTGCACATGGTGGGTTTACGGAGCACACTAGCAGAGTGTGGGTCGGGCACCTAATCCAACACGCTCCTAATATCCACCAGGAGAGCTGGGCGTGGTGGCACACACCTTTAATCTCAAGCACTCATGAAGCAGAGGTAGGTGGAGCTCTACAAGTCTCCATGGTGAGTTCCAGGCCAGCCACAGTTACACAGTGAGACCTTGTCTCAGAAAATAAAAAAATTTTAAAAAGAATATCACCATAGATGAGACAGAGTACACACGGCTTTATTCATTTTAGACTAGGTTCTGTGAGGGGACAGCTAAGGAAACCCTGTCATCTTCAAAGCTGTTTGAGTTTAGGGACATTAGATCTGTAGAGACCTCAACTGCTGTGGTCACAGTGGAGCAAGGCTCTGCCCTCGGTGGACTTGGGCGGGCATTTTTGGGTTTGTGAAAAACAGTAATAAGGTTCTTTAAAAGCTGGAATTCAGGAGCTGGAGAGATCAATTGGTGGTGTAGAGCACCTGCTCTCAGAGAGGACCTGGGTTCGATTCCCAGCACCCAAAGGGTGGTTCACAACCATCTAGAGCTCCAGTTCCGGGTGATCTGATGCCCCCTTCTGGCCCCAGATGGCACTGCATGTATGTGGTGCACAGACATAAATGCATGCAAAACACCCACACACACAAAATAATAAAATAAAATAAACTTGTCTGCTTTTTGAGACAGGATTTCTCTGTAGCCCTGGATGTCCTGAAACTCACTCTGTAGACCAGGCTGGCCTCAAACTCACAGAGATTCACCTGCCTCTGCCTCCCAAGTGCTGGGATTAAAGGCATGCAGCAACACTGTCTGGCTCCCCCAACCCCTTAGAGTGTTTAAGTCTATAAGGCTTATCTGTCTGTCTGTATCCATCTATCTATCTGTCTGTCTGTATCCATCTATCTATCTGTCTGTCTGTCTATCATCTCTCTATCTCTCTCTCTATCTATCCCTGTCTTTCTGTCTATCTCTATCTATCTATCTATCTATCTATCTATCTATCTATCTATCTATCTATCTTACCTACTTACTTACTTACTATGTGGTACTGGGAGTTAAACCTGGAGCCTAGCACATGCTAGGCAACTGCTCTACCACCATGCTACAGGCCAGACAAAATAAAATTTAAAACATTGCTGTAGATTGCTGTCTGCTGTAAGCTTTGGAGGTAGCTGTATCTTCCCTGAAGGCCACCTGTCATTTACTGATTGTGACTTCAGGAAGGAACCTCACAGAGTGAGCCTTCCCATTCATAACAGAAATCAGCAGCACCAGTGTTTGGTGGACTCGGAGATGCTCTCAGTGAAAGCAGACACACCCAGAGAGGAAGCTGAGAGCTCCTGCCAAGTTCCTGCACCTCCTGTGACTCCCTCCTTGTGATTCAAGCTCTCCGTTAAGGAAGGACCCAGGTTCTCACTCCTGAGGTTGCTCTCTGGGAGGGCCTGGCTCTTCCTTGGATTTCCCCTCCCACACCCTAGTACCTTGCCCCAGCACAGAGCAATCAGGCTGACTCCGAGAAAGGTTCTCAGCCTCTGGGGCCACCTGCAGCCCCAGCCTCATCACATGGACAAAGGAAATCCCACCCACCTTCTGTTGTCCTCATGGATCTGATTCCGGTTCTTCAAAAGCTCTCCGCCCAGGCAGCTCAGGCTCATTTGGGTCTCTGTGACATTGTGGGAACATCTAGAGAGGACCTCTGAGAACTGTGGGGCCAAAAGAGAGACTCCCATAGGGTCCTTAACTCAGGGCTATGCTGAGCAATCTGCAGGAGCATCCCTACCCCCATCCCGCCCTTTATTCCTACAGCTCTGCCCCTGGCTCACTCACAGTCTGCAGCCTGGACCTCAGCTCTGTGGCCTCCTTTAGTTCCTGGAAGTCAGGCATCTCAGCCCTGCTGCTGAGTCTGGAGGGGAGTAAGGAAAAGGCCATGTTGGGGGCTCAGGAGGCAGATGAAGAGGTCAGGAGCTCTGAACCCATACACTGGGCACAGCTCCTTTGCCTTGTTGGCTTTGGGAG